GAATGGAAGACTTCTCTGACATCACACAACCTACCTAGGTTAGAACAAGAAGAAATTGAGACCCTAAATAGACCAATAACAATCAAGGAAATTGACTACATAATAAGAAAACTTCCTACAAAAAAAAGCCCTGGTCAAGATGGCTTTCCAGCAGAATTCTACAAGACATTCAAGGAGGAGCTGATACCAATCCTACTGAAGGTATTCCAGGTGATTGAAAAAGATGGAACTCTCCCCAAATCATTTTACGAAGCCAACATCACATTGATACCCAAGCCAGGTAAAGATCCAACAAAGAAAGAGAACTACAGGCCAATATCTTTGATGAACATAGATGCTAAAATTCTCAACAAGATCCTAGCAAACCGGATTCAGCAATACATCTCAAAAATCATCCATCATGACCAAGTAGGCTTCATTCCTGGCATGCAAGGCTGGTTCAATATTCGTAAAACCATAAATGTAATTAAATACATCAACAGATGTCAAAACAAAAACCACATGATCATATCACTAGATGCAGAAAAAGCTTTTGATAAAATCCAGCACCCCTTCTTGATAAAAACCCTTGAGCATCTAGGCATACGGGGAACATACCTCAAAATAGTAAAAGCCATCTACGAGAAACCCACAGCCAGCATACTCCTAAATGGACAAAAATTGGAACCAATTCCCCTGAAAACTGGAAGTAGACAAGGATGCCCACTCTCTCCCCTCCTGTTCAACATAGTATTGGAAGTCCTGGCTAAAGCAATCAGAGAAGAGGAGGCAATCAGAGGTATTCAAATAGGAAAAGAAGAAGTCAAGTTATCTCTCTTTGCAGATGATATGATTGTGTACCTTGAAAACCCAAGAGGATCTGTCAAAAAACTTCTTACACTGATAAAGGCCTTTGGCAAAGTCTCAGGATACAAAATAAATGTAGAAAAGACAATCGCATTTCTCTACACCAATAATAAACAAACAAAAACCCAAATAAAAAACACAATTCCATTCACAATAGCCACACAAAAAATGAAATACCTTGGCATCTTCCTAACCAGAGACGTGAAAGACCTTTACAATGAAAATTACAAAACACTGCTCAAAGAAATCAAAGCCGACATGAACAAGTGGAAAAATATCCCATGCTCATGGATCGGAAGAATCAATATTGTGAAGATGTCCATCTTACCTAAGGCAATCTACAAATTCAATGCAATACCCATTAAATTACCAACAACATTCTTCTCAGACCTAGAAAAAACAACACAGGAATTCATATGGAAACACAAACATCCAAGAATAGCCAGAACAATCCTCAGCAAAAAAAACAAAGCAGGTGGTATCACAATACCAGATTTCAAACTTTACTATAAAGCTACAATCATCAAAACAGCTTGGTATTGGTACAGGAACAGGCATATAGATCAACGGAACAGAATTGAGATTCTAGAAGCAAAACCTCAATTGCTCAACCAACTCATCTTCGACAAAGCCCCCACCACCTACCAATGGGGAGAGGAGAACCTATTCAGTAAATGGTGCTGGGAAAATTGGCTGACCACATGCAGAAGATTGAAACAGGACCCCTATCTATCCCCATGCACAAAGGTTAACTCCAAATGGATCAGAGACCTAAATGTAAAACCTCAAACCATAAGAACCTTAGAAAAAGAAGGAAATACTCTCATGGAAATCGGAACTGGCATCCAATTCCTGTACAAAACCCGAAACCCACAGGACTTAAGAGAGAAGATAGACAAATGGGACCTTATTAAACTGACAAGCTTCTGCAAAGCCAAAGAAACCATCAAGAGAGCAGGGAGACAGCCTACAGACTGGGAAAAAGTATTTGCCAACTCTAGGTCTGACAAAGGCTTAACATCCTGGATCTACAAGGAACTGAAACATACTGAAAAGAAGAAAACAAACAACCCCATTATAAAATGGGCAAAAGATATGAACAGACACTTCACAAAAGAAGACATTCGAGCAGCCAACAGACACATGAAGAAATGCTCAACCTCACTAATCATCAGGGAGATGCAAATCAAAACTACACTGAGATACCACCTAACTCCAGTCAGAATGGCAATTATCAACAACTCAAAAAATAACAGCTGCTGGAGAGGGTGTGGTGAAAAGGGAACACTTCTACACTGTTGGTGGGAGTGTAAACTAGTGCAACCTCTGTGGAAAGCAGTGTGGCGATTCCTAAAAGCTCTAAAAATTGACCTTCCATATGACCCTGCAATCCCCCTACTAGGAATATACCCTGAAGAACACAAATCACTCTATAAAAAAGATACCTCACACGTATGTTTATCGCAGCGTTGTTCACAATAGCAAGAACCTGGAAACAACCATGCTGCCCATCAAAAGAGGACTGGATTAAAAAAATGTGGTACATATACATGATGGAATACTACACAGCCATAAAAAAGAACAAAATCATGAATTTCGCTGCAACCTGGATGGAACTAGAGTCTATAATACTGAGTGACCTCTCACAGAAACAAAGATCCAAATATCACATGTTCTCACTCATATAATGGACCTTGAACATCCAATGCAATACTATAAGAAAATGATTGACAGTACTGGAAAACTATGGCGGGGAGGGGGATGGAATTAACAGTAGCAAATATCTGTTGGGGGATGGGAAAACACCTCTTATCAACAGGGTGCCTGAATGAAACGTAATTGTACACCTAACCCTTAACTGTACCCCTCAAAACAATAATAAAAAATACTGATTAATGAAAATAAATAAATAAATAAATTCACTTTAATTCTGAAAAAAAAGAAAAGGAGTGACAGTAGCGGGAAACTGCAGGAGGGGAGTTGGGAGGTGGGATTGACAGTAGTGGGAATCTGCCTGGGGAAGGCGGGGGCACACTTCATTAACAAGGGTACCTGCATAATGAATATTTGTATACCTAATCCTGAATTGTACCCCACAATTTTAAAATAAAAAAATTAAAAGTTAAAAAAAAAATCTCACTATCGTGAACTCCAGACAAACTAAATCACTATGATGAAAACTGTATCATAACTAGTATATAACTAGAACTCATAGACTCACTCTACAACTCTGTTCAGGGATATACAGAAATGCAAGACGTCCAGGAAATACCTCCCAGCATATTATATATTCTTTATGCTATTATTTATGCTAGTATATATTCTTTATGTGATTATTTAACTGAGTAATTTACTTTTACCACTTTATTAAAAAGTCAAAAATAAGTATACAAATCTCAGTTTAAAAAAAGTAAACTATGTTGTTATTACACTAAACAAATGTTTCCATGTGCATTTTATTAAAAATAAAGGCCTAATATAACACAGAATGAGTAAAACTTTTGACTTTAACAAAACATTCACCTAAGTTTTCAGAGGTTCCTATAAGTGGCATCATGTGGGTAGCTGTTCACAAGGTCTAATGCTTTATCCAGTCAAAGGTAAGAAGGTTAGATTCAACTTATTAGTCAAATATCAATATTCTTCAAGTGAATAAATGCTTAAAAGAACACTTATTCCTTCTAACACAGTGAGAGACTCAACATCTTAAAAACATCTTAAAAAACTAAATGGAAATCTGGCATAAATTTGTTTTCCTATGTGATGACTCACTGCAAAATATTAAGGTCATGGGAAGGATATGTTTATAAAAAAACAAACTTAAACTGAGAATATGTTTCCAACATGACCACTAAAAGTAATCAAAATGAAAAACAGCAAAATTCTTCTTTAAAATCCCATTTTGTAGAAAGAGTGCAAAAACTGCTGCACCTTCAAAAACTTTATTCTGAATATTCAAAACTGGAAAAAACAAAGTTGAAGACTCATGTGACATACCTCTCCTAGAGCCTCGTATCTTTTCTGGTTCCATCTGTGCAAATCTTCCCGGTAGTTAAAAACAAATGGTTCCCCAGTTTTTATGTGTCTTAACTGCCCCTCTAAAAAGGTAAACAAACAAGACTACTATAATTCAAAGTACATTTACAACAATATAAACAGCATAACAAATAATGTCTGATAAAAATTTAACTTTCTCAAAGCAGTTCTTTCTTTAGATTTTTTCTTCAGATACAAATGTAATGCAAACCTATAAATAATATAAATAAATGATCCATAAGTACTCAAAAGTTATTCTTATTGATCTTCAGCTCTCTAATCTAAAGCAAACTAACACTATTTTAAGGTCTAATATGTATAAAGATCTTAACTAGCTATTGCTATGAACGCAGTACCAGTTCTCAAGAAGCTTAGAGGCTATTTGAGGAGTAAAAACAAAATATTTAAAAATTGAGCAACTCTTTGGGAAGTTAAACAAGGATGAAGTCAATAATCTAAAAACTGCTACAGGCAATTCATGTAGACAATAAAGTCTAGAATGATTTTGGAGAAATGAAAAATCCCTGTGGGTTAGAAGAGGTTCAGAAGGTTTCAGTGAGATTTCTCAACTGGGCCTTGAAATATGGGCAGGATATCAAATGAAAACTGGAAAGAGGCAGTGGATAACACTAGTTTGAACTGTCAAATAGAAAACACAAATCAGAGATCTTGGCCAATAATGACTAAACTTTCTAATAATTTCAAAGGTACAAGCAATTAAGCAATGTAGGCAAAGCAAGGAAAGGTCTGGGACATCCTGGTGTTTTCCCCACGTCCTTTGTTCTCACTGGATCATACTCTCTGGCCCAAAGTAAGTGAAGTCTCTAAGTGAGGCATACAAATTACCTTACACATTGCTGAGCAATTGGGTTATAAAATATTGCCATTTATGTGCCAAAGAGTTGTACTGCTAGGTGATATTCTTCAGAGAAGCATGCCTCATATATCCAAACACTGTAGGTTTGTTTACCATGAGCAATGCTAAACCAGTCATAACTGCTCAAAGAATTCTGTGGATAAAGATTCTCCTCATAGTAAATATTAGTCTATATTTAATTCATGACTTAATTATCATATATCTACAAGGAAAAAGGACCAAGCTACCTGTCTCCGCAGCAGGACTCTTTTTCCTCTGGTAATCAGGAGAAACAGACCACAGGCCAATTGCTTCAACCCCATCTCCCCTCCAGGCAGCAAATATTACTACTTATACATATACTGGCATATAATATCTTCATTAAAAAGCGTGAAAATTAATATAAGAGAAAAGATCAAAGTTTCTAGTATCTTCTGTTTACACTTATTTGACATTCCAGTACACAGAGAATGGGATGTCAAGTCCTAATTGATATTGTAAAAGGATATCCACTAATACAATAATAACAGAGCACCAATTCAGCTGATGCAGAGCAACATATAAAAAACTACTACTTAAATGCTACCTATCCTGTAATAACATTACCTTTCAAGTTTAACAGTGTATTATTAATCCAATAAATCATGATTCTTCACTCCAGAAACATCCTTGCAATCTATGGTATGTTCCTCCATATCCCAAGTGTAAAGGTTATTTTATTCAGGATTTAATTAATAAATTTTAAGACAAGGATGTTGCCTGAAAAATCATGGAAAATTGCTTTAAAATATTGTCACAGATAATTATTGCCAGTCACTTCATTTTAAATAACATGTGAAACAGTAGCATCTTCCTCTATAATTTAATTAGGAGTTCCAATTGCATACCAGGGCACTGAACACTCAAGGTTGAAATGCATAAGCTGAATCAAATTCAGGTCCATTAGTTTACGTGACTTGACAACTATAGGAAACTGTTACTTGGTTCTTTCACTTGAGTGAAGGATTTCATCATGCAAGGATAAGTCATTATTTCTCAAATTAAATTCATAAAACATTCTAGCTGGTCTTTAAAAGTAGCAAGTAAATCTGCTCTATAATTATATTAGCATTGTTAAGTAAATTTTGCATATAGCACACAACACTTACTTTCATTAAAAGCATATTCAAATCCTTCCAGGGTATCAGGAAAATCAAGAGGTGGTTCATCTTTTTTCATTAGTTCATCCAAATCTATCCTAGACAATAAATCTATAAAAAAATAGAAAATTTACTTATATTTTTAGTTAATAACAAATAATTATATTTTAATTTAATTTTAAATATTCTTTTGTCCTATTAGATTAATTCTTCTGTCCTATTATAGCTTTAATTGGTCATGCTATTAAATTTTTAAGTTCCCAAAATACTGCATTATGATCATGCATAAAGTCAACATAACACAAGCACTTACAAAGTCATAATTCTGAAAACAATCACCACTTAAATCCTATGTACCATTATATTAAATTAACTTCTTCCCTTTCAAAATACACAGATATAAATTTGTACCTTATTAACCTCATTCTATAGTTTGAAAGTTTCAGACATTAATGTAACTAAAAGGTCATTAAATCTTATGTAGAACTGAAACTATTGTTTATGAATAAGGAAACATTATAAACCTAAATAGTGTTAATATAGTATACTATTCCATTTTTAAGAAGAAAAAATGTTAAAACATACTAACTAGCAAAAACTGGTTGACACAAAGCAGTTTCTATTTTTCACATCATTTGATTCCATGCAATCAAAAAATCTGTCAGTTAGTTTTTTTAATAATAATTTTGTTTTAGAATAATTATAGATTTATGGAAAAATTGAAAGACAGTACAAAAAGAGTGTTAAACCCCTTACTTGCTTTCCCCTATCACTAACATTTTACATCACTATGGTACATTTATCAAAATGAAGAAACCAATATTGGTACATTACTACTAACTAAAGACCAGATATTTCCCTAGTTTTTTCATTAATGTTTATTTCCTGTTCTAGGATTCTATCCAGGATACCACATTGCAAGTAATTATCATGTCTCCCCAATCTCCTCTAGTCTGTGATGATTCTCTGCCTTTCCTTCTTTTCCATGATCTTGACAGTTTTCAGGAATACTAGTCAGGTACTCTGTAGAATGGGCCTCAATTTGGGTTTGTCTGATATTTTTTCTTGTGATTAAACTAGGTTTAAGATATTTGGAAAGAATACTACAGAACTGAACTATCATTCTCAACACATTATTTCAAGAAGAACATGACCTCAATAGGAAATTACTTGGTTAAGGTAATATTTGTCAGGCTTCTCTACTATAACATTACTGTTTTTCCCTCTCCATAATCTACTATCTGGAAGTGACAATGTCTGGCCCATCCTCAAAGAGAGGAGGAAGAATTATGCTCTATCTCCTGGAGTAAAGAATATCTACATATTATTGGTAATTCTTCTATGTGGAAGTCATTTCTGTTCCTCCATTTACACATTTATGAAATCACTTATATCAGTATGAACTCATGGATACTTATTGTATACTTTGGGTTACAATACAATACTACATCATTTATTTTGTTTCTCAAATTGTTCCAATCATAGCTATTGTAAGCTCTTCCAGTTGTCTCCTGTGTCCCTTTGACATGCACTTATCTTTCTGCCTTTTGACATCTCCTTATTTTCTATTACTACAAGAGGTGCTTCAGGGTCATTTTGTATCTTTCCTGCTCCAATGCTAGAATCAGTCTATCAACAAGTATTTTAGGCTCATATTACAGGATGAGGCAAAAATTCTCACTGTATGTCATCATATAGTCATCTCAAAAATCAGAAAAATAAAAACAAACATCAAATGTACTCAATTTCAAAAAAGATTTAAAGTCATTTTCATCTAAACAAGAAATAAAGGTTAGGTTTTCAGATTCTTCATTCTAACTAAAGTTCCTGAAAGTAAAAACTCCTAGAATATGCTGTAAGGCAAGACAGTCCCTTTCCTACAAAAGGAGTATCTCGGGCCAGGTGCAGTGGCTCAAGCCTGTAATCCCAGCACTTTGGGAGGCTGAGGTGAAAGGACTGCCTGAGCCCAGGGGATCGATACTAATCTGGGCAACTTATTGAGACCTCGACTCTACAATAAATCAAAAAATTAGCCAGGCATGGCAATGTGCACCTGTAGTTCTGGCTACCTGGAAGGCTGAGGTGGAAGGATCACCTGAGGCCAGCAGGCTGATGCTGGGGTGGCCATGAGTGTGCCATTGTACTCCAGCCTGGGCGACAGAGTGAGACTCTAACTAAAAAAAAAAAAACAAGTATCACAGAAGTAATACTTTATTTCTGTCTCACAGGGACACAATAAATCCCCTGTATAGAACATCATCAAAAGACGCTAGAGGAAAAAAGTGTTTTGTCTACCTCCATTCTCTAGTCTCTCTCTGTAGGACACAAAGACAATGCATTAAAAACCTAGTTAAAAAAAAAGAAAACTTCATTTAAAAAAATCATGGTTTAGTACTCTTCAAACTTCTATATCAAACTCAAATCACACAAAAATACACCAATCTCAACATAAAACATGTTTGCAAACTCTAGTAAAATAGAAATGTCAGATAATATGCATACCGGACTTAAAAAGGAACATATGAGTATGCTGACAATTCCTCATTCATTACTAAAGTTCTGACCACTCTGCAAATCTTTCCAAAATAAAGTAAAAATAGAAGTTTTTAATATTGAAAAAACGGCTTGTAGTGGCTAAAGATTATCAGTTCTCTTCTTCCAGTGAAATGAGGTTCTGGGGCAAAATCAGACTCCTTCATTTCACAGTCACATTCTACAATTCATAACTTGCAAACCTTTTCATCACACACACAGAAACCATCCAGTATGTGAGCAGATGTAATGTGTCTAATAGCCACTTTCTGTTTCTACTAACATAGAATTAAAAATGCAGTCTTACATCTATATATCCCTTAAAAATTTCAAAGCATTTTCCCATACATTACCTCATTTGATAATCACAATCCTATGAAACAGTAACAAGTATTACCATCTTAACTGTCTTTCAGACAAGGAAGTGAACTCAGAGAGATAAAATGGCTTGTTCAAAATTATAGCTTAATAATAAGTGGGATTAATAAAATAAGTACATCTCTCAAAACCAAACTTAGTGCTCTTTCAAAATCACCATACTGCTTCTATATGCCATACAACCTTATAACACTCTGTACCCCTTTTCTCCTGTTACAAAGAACCATCAGTTATGAATACAAATATGTGCCTTGGATTTCCTCAAAATGTTTCTTTGAATGATAAAATCAACAACCAAATAAAAGGCATTTCTCAAATTTGTCCTCTGTCAACTAGAAAACGTGGTATAGTTTTTAAATTTTTCTCAGCACTAAGAAGACATACAGAAAGAAACTGTCAGAAATTATTTTTCTGCTTTGTAGAAGGAAAGCAATATTGTAAAGTTGCATTTTGCTCAGAGACTGGGTTCCATAGGCAGTGAATTATGCAAAAATCAAGTACAATAAAAGCTTTCCATGGAAAAAAATTCCTTCAATTACCTATAAAATACAGTAGTCTTGAATCATATAACCTAAATATGCATCAGATGTGACATGACTTTTTCTTTCCTAAAACTTGGCTCTGGTGATTAAAATAATAGAGTGACTAGAATTATTAACCTCATCTAAGCATATGCAAACAACTATAAAAATACCATTTAGTACCCAAAAGAACTGAAAGCAGGAACAACTTAAGCACATATTTATACATCAATGTTCACAGTAGTATTATCCACAATAGCCAAAGGTAGACGCACTCCAAGTGTCCATCAATGGATGAATGGTATGATGGTGAATTTCATTTTCTTAAGGGACAGGGTCTCACTTTGTCACCCATGCTGGAGTGCAGTGGCACAATCAGAGCTCACTACAGCCTCAAACACCTGGGCTCAAGGGATTCTTCCACCTCAGCCTCACCTAAATACCATGCTTGGCTAATTATCTAAAAGTTTTTTGTAGAAACAAGTTCTCACTATGATGTCCAGGCTGGCCTCAAACTCCTGGCCTCACATGATCCTCCAGTTTCAGCCTCCCAAATAGTGGCAATTACAGGTGTGAGCTACCAAGCCAAGTCCAATGGTTAATTTTATGTGTGAATTTGACTGGGACACAAGGTGCCCAGATACCTGATTTAACATTAATCTAGGTGTCTTTGTGAGGTTCTTTCTGGATGGGATTAACATTTGAATGGGTAAACTGAGTAAAGCAGACTCCTTCCTTAATGTGTGTGTGGCATATCCAATCAGATAAAGGTTTGAATAGAACAAAAAGGTTTGAATAGAACAAAAAGGCAGAACAAATGAGGATTCAAACTTTCTGCCTATCTTTGAACTAGGACATCAGTCTTTCCCTGTTTTCAGACTTAGACTGGAACTCACACCATCAGCTCTTCTGCATCCCAGGCTAGGGAACTTGGGCTAGGACTATACAGTTCTCCAGGGTCTCCACCTTGCCAACAGTAGATCTTGAGACTTCTTAGCCTCTTTGATAGTGTGAGTCAAATCTTTATAATAAATCTCTTTATATATACACACAAGCAAATACATGCTGAAGGGATGCAGGAAAATTCACCCCAAAATACAGCTTTTTGCCACAGGATCTCTCTGACCTTTCTGGCTCCACTTAGTCACAGAAAAGCTATGCTTCCCTACCTGGTATTCATTATCTATTGCAGAAAAAAAGAGCAAGATACCACCACACTTGAGCAAACCTTTTTTCAAGCATGACTGTCTCCAAGGATGAAATTCCAAAAATAACTATTTGCAAGTCATTCTCTGCTTCCCCATCCATTCATTGCCCCTCAAAAGTAAAATCTTCTTCTTCCCCCACCCATAACCTGTTTTACCAGAATTCAAGTCTGCATTCTTCTTGTAACCCCCAGACAGTATTCAAGTTTCTATAACTCATAGGGAAGATGGATCTTCATTCTGAAGGCCCACATGTATACAAGATAATAAAATTTGTATCTTTTTCTCCGATAAATCAACCTTGCCTCATGCCAGTGATTTTTCAGCAAACCTCTAGAAGCCAACAGCCAAAGTCCCCACAATACATACATATATACACCCACATACATACACATGCAACTGGGTTCTGTTTCTCTAGAGAATCATGGTTACTACAACATTGGATAAACAAAATGTTGTATAAGCCGGGTTCGGT